CGTTAAGCAAGTATAAACTGGGCCAACAATCAGTCTTGAGACTTATCGCGTCAGCTTTCTACTTCTACAGGATTGCTCCAGGAATGTGATACTTCACATGGAGCTCTTGAATTAACACGGCGTCGTCATTCTAAGGCTTAAATTGAGAAAAGCGCTGCTACTGTAGCGCTGCCTACACCGGACAAAACTGGGGAACCATGCGCTCAGTGTGACGGAACACGCCACCGATCGGCCTCCCTGTAGCGTTATCATTTCTGTCGGCTCCCAAAAACCCGCAGACTTCGAATGCGTCATCGCGTGCGATCAGCACCTGCTTGTTAACCGTCAGATTTGCGTCACAACAGGCATCGCCGCGTTGAGTAGTGGCAAAACAAAGGTACTGCTGGCACACTTTTGCCACAAATATAAACACCTTAATATTGGTATAATGGTACCATAAATTGAGAAATTCGTACTTATCACCAATGCTTTCACTTTCTCCGACGCTGCCGAAGCTGCTTCAATGAATCGACGCCCCCAAACAGAAGTCGACATCAACCCGAACGTCCCAAAGGACACACAAGACAAGCTAAAAACTCTGTTCCTGCAATTCAAGGAATGCTTCTCCCCGTCGTCTAAAATTCGACAAACGCCAGTGGCGAAAACGTCGTATAATCGAAGAAAGTGCCTGGTCAATCCAGTGGACCCCGTATCGAGTTTAGATGAGAGTACGTGAAGCCGTAAAGAAACGAGTCAGCGCAATGTTACGCTAAAACATAAACACGCTTTCCTAGAGGTTCTGGGTGTCTGCTGTGGTGTTAGTGACGAATATAGAGAGAATCTTACATTTCTTAATCGACTATTACGACCTATACAAGGTGAAAAGACGCGTATTTTTTCCCACGAAAAAAAAGATGGCCTGGATCCGCTCCACAGCGCAAACCACTTTTCTTCGATGGACCTCAAGAGTGGCAGATCCAAGTCGATGAAAAAAACCGAAAAATGACTGGCTATATAGCTCCAAACGGTCTGCGAGTTCGAGGTCATGCCTTTAGGTCTTTTCTCTGCCCCCGCGACATTACAATGCCTCATTAATACAGTACCGGCCGGCTTGAAGTGGGAGACTTGCCTTGTGTATCTGCATGACGTCGTTGTGCTTTGCTCAAACTTTGAAGAACAGATGTAGTGCCTTGCAGCTGTACTTCAAACAATCAAGACCTACTGATTCACCCTGAAGCCAGAAGAGTACCCCTTCCCGTACAAAGAAGAGTTGTTCTTGAGCCATGTGATGAATAAGTCCGGAGTACGCCCCGACCCACAGTAGACATCCGCCATTGCTACATTATTCCCGTCACCCGCCAACAAGATGACCGTTCGTCAATTTCTTCTTGGTCTGTTTGCCTGTTGAAGGAGATTCGTCAAAAACTTGACTCGCCTCACCGAGCAACTTACTAACTTTACAAGGACGGACGTAGAGTTCAAGTGCGAAACGCCGCAAAAGCATGCATTTCAAGAACTAAAGATTAACGCCTGCAGACGCTTTCATTACTCCTGCATTTTGACGAATTTGTGGACACGAAAGTGTACACCGACGGAGGCAGTGTAGGACTCGACGCTGTTTTTCTGCAGAGGCCAACTGTAAGGGGTCATCAAGCCTGCTAGCCGGTTGCTAGCAAAGGTGTAAGCCAACTATTATACAACATAAAAGGAGTACTTGCCATCACTAGGGGGACATCGAAGTTTCGCCTATGGCAGGTCTTTAGAAGTTGTGAGGCACCACCACACCTTGCGTTCGCTAGCTAACCTGTGTTGAGACAGGGGTCTGACAGCAAACCACCTCTGTTACCAGTCATTACGGCTCGGGTCCGGCAGGTCTCATCGTGGGTAGCTGCCCTCCCACCCCCACCCCGCACACTATTAGCCCGCCTTGCAAGGAAGAAGACGCATTCTTCGGAAGATATTTACAAAGGTTTCTTTACATAGATTACATAGAGGACAGTTACTTCTTAACAGTTTTGTTTAAAAAAGGTCTCTCCAAAAGAAGCTCTACATCAAACAGCACACAAACCAGCCCACAAGAAATGATTATAAAGACTCCCATTTCTCCAGTTCTTTGGACGAGGGAAAGGGCACCAAACTACACTGTCCAATACCAAGACATACACACGTTTTGATGCGGCCTCCCACACCCGCCCTATTCAACTTCCACCCACATCGCCAACTTCCACTACAGTGTCCCCTTGCGCCTGCATGGTCGCTGGAGTGATGGGTCTCACGCTCAGGCTGACGCATCAAAGGTACCCCTGCGGTGCAACTGTTCCTTCGAGGAATGTTGTCGTGACCAAAACCCATTGTGGTCGATTATGACGCTGTACTACATGGTGCCTCACTTCCCGTCTTGGAATGACAATGCTCGGGATGGAACGGCTTTCCGCAGGCTACCAGCTCCTCAGCGACTTGTTCGCAGTACCCAGAATTCCAATCCCCTTTTCTGCCCAAGCACTGTACCTAACACCTGAAAAAACCTCGTGGTTGCATCGCATGGTGAAGCCTAAACCTTCACAAATTTCACGCTACCTTCGTTTACAAGTACGGAAGAAAACACACAGAGGCTGGCAGCTTGTCTCGTTCTTTCGTTTATACCCACCACCGCAGGACCACCAGCATGATGACCGCTTCATGGTAACTACAAGTGTCGATGACTCGTTTGTGGTAAATGTATATGCCGACCAGGAACTTAGTGGCCTGATAGAATACATTGAGGGCAGGACCGCCACTGTTCCGAAGACATTCAAGGTAAGGCTCGCATCGTTCTTGCGAAACGGCACTCTCCTAAATAAATTATCACCCCTCCGAGCCAAACATTTTCTCGTGGTTTCTTCAGCAGTGAGACCAGAAGTACTTCAGGCCCTAAAGCACGACCCGATGGCTGGAAACTTCAGTGTTTGCCGCACGCTCACAAGAACACAGGAAAAGTACTACTGGTCACGCCTTGTCACCGATGTCTCTCGCTACCAGTATACGCCAAGACTGTCAGCGACGGAAGTCCCACTGACAAAACCAGCAGACTTTATTCGGCCGATCAAACCCCTTCCCCGACCATTCTATCAAATCAACATGGACCTACCGGGGGCGCGAGAACAAATGAATCCTCGTAGCTACCAACTACTTCACCCGCTACACTGAAATGAGGGCCCTATCTAGAAGCAGTGCCACCGATGTAGAAAAGTTCTTCATTGAAGACATCGTCCTGCGCCATGACACCTTCGTGGTCCTTATTACCGTCAAAGGTAGGGCCTTTACTGCGGAGCTAACTCAGGCGACACTGAGATACAACCAAACCAGCCACAGCTGGGCCACTGCCTATAATTCGCAAACAAATGGCCTCACCGGCCGTCTTAGTAAGACCATTGCAGATATATATATGCTGGCCATGTACGTCTACGTCGAACACAAGAAATGAATGCCGAACTTTCGTACGTGACTTCCACGTGCAACACAGTAGTGCAAGAAACAACACCGATGTATTTGTACAAGATGGTCGACAAAAGGAGCCCGGCAACAATGCAATGTTGCCATCTACCACCCATAAAGAGAATCTCGACGTGAGTAGTTACTTGCAACGCACCAGAGTGGCTCGACAGCTCGCCTTCTTACGCACCAAAAATCAGCAGACGACCACCGGCCGCCGCTACAATCTTCGATGACGCCATGTGGAATGCCGGCCTGGCGACGCCGTTGATTGGATGTGGACGCCGATACGAAGACATGGAATCAGTGAAAAACTCCTTCGCCGATACCTCAAGCCACACAAAGTGCTTCGGCATCTAGGGGCTCGAGACTACGAGGTTATTCAGGAGGTCATTACAAACTCCTAACGGCGCCATGCACGACCTGAAGTCGTTATGTCAAGCACCTCGAGCCGTTTTACGCGCATTAGAGAACCCAATAACCATACCTCTTGCTTGATTACTCTAATATCTCGCTTGAATTTGTAGCTTATTGTAATTTCTTGCTTTATTATTGCACTTTTATCGACGTTAAAGCATCGGGACGATGCCTTTTTCAGAGCACAGCAGTGAGACAAGCCTTCCTCGCACTTCATGTCACCGGTACCTTGCACATGTCGATAATGTCAAGTGCACTACGCTATAGACCATCTGAGAGTATTACAGGTTATTTTAAAAATCATTGCACAAGGCTTCAGAGTACAAACGAGAACAGCTGAGTTTATTGCCGATGAAACGCAGCCACCAGAAATAACGCTGGAACGTTCAATGTCGCATGTATACATTTCGACGCACCTTGCCGGGGATCAGATTATCCACAACCGACGCTATGTTCAGCGCTATCATAGCCCAGTGTGTATTGCTGCAATCTAACTTTCTATTTTGCGGCCACAATCCCGGGCAAGCGAAAAGTTTCAAGCAAAGGCACTTTTTTTTGGAACACTTCGTGCTTGCTAATAGTCATGATGTAGCGCCAAAAGACAAAACGGACACATAAAGCCAGTGGCGCGTAATTTTATATGTTTGTTGCCTCTTTTCGCGCTAAAATTATGACTATTGAAGAGTTTCATCTTAAACAAGCCAACTGCTGCCTTCAGCCAAGTGGCCACCCCGTTGCAATATAGCTATTACTTCTTTTGTTTTCGTAATATAAGCACCTTTTTTCTTTACTAATCTTAAGAAGCGCAAACATCCATAGTTACTTTTATTTTTCAAAGGTGTACAACATGCGATGCAGGGAATGTGGGCGCCGAAAGACGGCTTAATATTTCTTTTGAGCTCTTGCCTTAATTTTTGAATATCCCAGTAATCTGAGAGTCAATCTATAGGTGGCTGGCGATCTTTTTCCGTCTTTGTCGGTTGCGTCGCCATAGCCCTCCTTCAGCTTTAATCAAATAGCCGAACAACACTATTCAGTAAAGTGATAGAAGATATATACCACAATGTTGTCCTCCCATATGCTTGCACTTTCGGTCTGAACAATCTCTTTGCGTCGGGGGGACGATGTCTCACCTGAGCCTCTCCGCTTTCGGCGAGCATCTCCTGCAGGCGCAGCTTGAGCCTTCCTCGCGCTGCACCGAAGTAGGTGTCCTCCTGGCGCAGCACCGAGTGCGCGTGTGCCATAGTGCGGACAACTTGGATCAACCGGGTGGGGTCAGCCAGCCGGGCTTTCAACTCCACGTTGGACGGCATCGAACACTGCACGCACAGCAAGCAATTAACTCCACAGGCCGATTAAGGGGAGTACAGCGCTGGATAAGTACTTGCCAATTTCTCGCACGTGACAGAAAAGTTCTGCACACGCATGGTGTTGCTTTTCGTTTATTCGTTTCTGTTTGGATAAGCGTAAGTCTAAGCTGCTACTGTCTTACTTGGAAGGAGACAGTAGGAGGATAAGCTCCTACTGTCTTACTTGGAAAATGTATATAAGTACAAATAAAGTAAGCGGCACTCCTTCCCCGCTGAGCACTGAATGCAATAAAGCTGCGGACATTATCTCTATATCAGGTCGCGTAAGCATTTATGCTTCGAAACGGAGAAGCTAATAGCTAGTGTGAAAAAAGAATGGTTTTTCCATGGACCCAGCAAAGACATTGTGTTTCAGGCACGAGCGTATAGATGTGGTTCACATGCTCTCATACGGTGTCTCCGTCGCGGTCACGCTGAGTGTCCAGCGCCAATACGCCACCTCAATTTCGCGTCTGCCTTGACAACAAAGGTTATATTAAAAGCCGTGGCAACGTAAGGCTGATATATTGTGCGCTACTGCTTTGACAAAAAATCGTGGGAAGCGAACGGTGGTTAAACAGTTAAGAGTGCGCAAGCCCCAGAGAAACCTACTGAACACAATTCATTTTACAACGAAAGCTAAATTTGCTTCCCGAGCCCGTTGAATCAGGCTGTATACAAAATTTCAGCAGGGCCATTCCGGGCTGAAAAAGCTAATGACTAGAACAGCGCCTCTGTCTCGCAGAGTATTTTGACTAAAAATTGTGTGGTGTATATAATTGAGCTTCATGATTAGATTGTATTCCTATTCGCTTAATGAAACAGTATATATATATATATATATATGTACGAGAAATAAGTGTATACCTAAGGGCATGTTTTCCGTGTTTTGACACAATAATAATGAGATCTAGCAGAGAATAATGCCAAGCAAAGTATAGGGGAAGCTATTAGACCAAGTCGTGATTCTGGATCGTAATTCACGATAAACAGGCTATAATGTAAATGTCAAGAAAGAATAGTGGGTGAGAAGATAACTTCCCGAGGGCAGGAACCGAACCTGCACCTTCGAATAACGGGAATATGTATATTGAAATGAGCGAGACAGACACAACACCCGTTCGTCGGACAAGCTGCTCTATTATGCCTCTTCTTCCTCGCTGTCCAGCCCATGGCCCACAGCTGCCACGCCGCTCTTCGTTACATTCGGCCACACTGCGGACCTGACAAAGCAAAAAAAAAGAAAAACAGTGCGTTGCACCTGCAGCGGTCCGACTGCTTTTTTCAAGGGCGACACATGCACGGCAAAGTTGTTTCTTTTGCGTTTATCGAGAATGAAGTTCGCATCTGAGGTGTTCACACGCGAGGTATTTTCTCCTACACGCTGAGTAATTATGAACGGCTCGTTGAACTTAGGGAGTAGCTTCTTGCCGGGTCCGCTGGTGCCCCTTTCCAAACAGACCTCTTCAGCGATGTTGTAAGGAGGAGCGGGCCTACGGCGTCTGTCATAGTGGCGCTTTTGATTTTCTAGTGCGTAGGTGGCTTTCTTGATCGCCTTAGTTCGGATCTTCTGGCAGGCTGCTTTGCGATCGTTCGCACGTGGAACTGTAATGGGAGCATCCAGACTGAGGACCGCTTTCAGCTGTGGTAGTTTTCCATAAACAATTTCGCAGGGCGTTTCCTCGGTAGACGTCTGCAGTGTCGTGTTAATCGCAAAAGCGGCTGACGGAAGGTGGACGTCCCAGTCGGCCTCTCCTCGTTTCCCTGCCTTCGTATATGGAGCGAGTCGTGCTTGGATGCTCTGGTTAGTTCTCTCAGTAAGGCCGTTTGCTCGAGGATGAAACGCGGATGCGAAGTGGTGCTGCACGCCTGCTGTGCAAAGGAACTTTTTCAGTTCCCCGCTAAGGAACGTTGTAGCCCGATCAGATATTAACTTTTTTGTTAAGCCATGTTTCCATTCAATTCGGTGCTTGATGAAGTCGATTAGGTAAGTGGATGCAAGAGATGGCACGGCCTTCACTTTCACGTATTTTGACAGGTAGTCTACTGCTACAATGACGCAACGATTTCCCGCAGTGATGATGGATAGAGGTCCCATGTAATCAATGCCAATCGCGTGGAAAATTGTTTCTGGTATCTGGATTGGTGTTAGTAATCCAGGTTGATACCCAGGCAGTCGCTTAAGCTGCTGGCAGATTTTGCAACTAGCGACATAACAAGGGACGCTACTTTGCATCTTCGGCCACCAAAACCGTTCTTGTAATTTCCGGAGCGTGGCTCGTTGGCCGGTGTGTCCGCTTTCTGGGGAGTCATGAATGGCTCGTAATATTTCTGACCTGTGGAATTTCGGGATCACCAGGAGGTAACGTTCTTCAGATCGGTCCGCTCGCCAGTGACGCCGGTACAATACGACATTGCGCATCGCAAAAGTACTGTGATTTCCCTTGTCAGTGATAGATGCAATTATGGATGCAAATCTTTATCTTCCTGTTGGGCTCGAGATATATCCATCTGGGCGAAAAAAATGTGGGTTTGCCTGCTTCGTTCCGCGCATTCAATGGGGTTTCATAAGAGTGCATCGGCGATGTTGTTTAGCCCCCCCCCCTCCCAGCGCGGTGGTGCACGTCAAAATCGTATTCTTGCAGTGTGATTATCCACCGGGCAATTTGTGCTCAAGTTGCTGCTTGGAGAACATCCATGCTATAGCAGCATTATTAGTCACAACAGTGAATTTACGTTCGAAAAGATAATGCGGAAACTTATCATCGACGCTTCATACCACTGCAAGATATTCAAGCTCGTTAGAGACATTCAAGCTCGTTGGCAACGTTTTCTTCTATAATTTTTCTTTCAGTTAGAAACACGCGGCAGGGTCGGCGGTGTACGATAGATGTCCCAACAGTTTGAATTCCATGTGCTGTAGTATTAGTGCGGCCCAGCTTAGACGAGCAAATATCGAAAGAATTTGCATGTTTCTGTAACAATACGAGCACCTGCTGCCTCTGTGAATATGTCAATTCACTGATTAGGCGGAGGAAGAAACATGCTCACCGAGGCAAGGTTCTTTGAATGCGATGGCCTGAAGTGGCGTGACAAATACAGGCTCGAAGTCAGCAACACGGGCCACAATAGTGCCCTGTGGCAGTAAGATCTTCTCCGGTGTAGAGTTGACCGCAGTGACAAGTGCCGAGCCATTGCAAAAACGAACGACACTGGACGGAAGAACTATACCTTTGCAAACGCAAAGTGGTGATGGTGAGACCAATACATCCCCGTGATAGATATCGTTGGACGTAATGCTGACAATTTGATCTTGTAGTGAAGGCAGTTCGATGTCTTTCGCAGCGACCAGACGAAGAGACTTCTGATTGTCGTCGTCAAGCATGTAGTCGGTGTCAGCGAGGTGAACGACGCGTTGTCCACAACAAATCGCCGCGGAAGCAGATGATAGAAAATCGCACCCTAAAATTAGTTGGTGAAAGCAGCGGGACAGGACAGCAAACTGGACATGATGGCGGGTGCCGTCGATAAATACACGCATAGTACAAAACGCGGAAGGGTGAGTGACGTTCCCCTGGCTAGCAAATAACGTGGCGCCATCGTAAGGCGTCATTTCGTTCCTTAAATATTCACACAAATCAGCATGTATCACAGACAATGTCACACCTGTGTCCACCAAAGCACGGACTCGCACTCCTTCCAATTCCACAGAAACCATGTTACACGGGCCTGATGGAGGAATTTCAGTTCTATATCCCAATGCAGTTTTTTCTCAACAAACTGCATCACTTAGTTTTCCGAATGACTATCAGAGGTGAATGAGGCGGGCCGAAGTGGATAAGTGGAATGGCGGAAGGGCGAAGGCGAGCGGCGTCTCGTGTTTCGGCTGTTTCGTGGTGTAGTCGATGCAGGAGAAGATGAAGACCGGTGCGGGGGAGACGAATAAGGCCGACCTTAATAAGACGCCTCGCTGTACAAATCCCGTTCACACACGTCGTTCCGACGCTCATCTTGCTGGCACTTTCGGCAGAAATGAGATATGTGGCCGCGATAGCCACAGTAGTGGCATACAAGGCGAAACGAGCGCCCCGGTGTGGAATAAAAGGCATTCGGGGCACCAGGAGATAGCGCGGTCAGGTGGGCCGAAGGGTCAGAGGGCACGGAATGGTAGTTCACCGGGGGAGCGGCAGCAACTGACGCGTAGGATGGACGCGGCAATGTCGCGTGGGCGTCGCTGGGAGGCACGGCAGCAACTTGAGGGTACGTGGATATCGGGTGAGAAGCAGGTGGCTGTACGGGCGCAGAGCCAGGCAGGGATGTAAGTTCCTCCCTGATGATGTCACGTAAGGGCATCCCCGAAGGCTGTGTAGATCGCGTAGTAGGAGGTGTGAAGCCCATGAACCACAATTCTTCGCATATAATGTCCCGGATGAGGTCACGCAGAAGGCCATCTGACGTGAAGTTGTGGTCGCCAATGTCCGGTTGAAGGCGAACGGAGTCCAGCGCATCAAGGCGCTGGCATGTCGTCACGACATCAGCGATGGTAGCTGGGTTTTGCACAGCGAGGGCATTAAAGCCAACAGGCACAATGCCTTTCAACATATGGCGCACTTTGTCCGATTCCGGCATGGATTGATTGACACGCCGGCAGAGTGCGAGGACACCCTCGATGTATGAAGTGTACGATTTACCGGGATGTTGTCGGCGAGTATCGAGTGTCCTCTTCGCGACGGCTGATCGAATGTCTGGTGTCCCAAAGACGTGTCGCAGCTGCTGCTGGAAGGTAGCCCAGTCCGGTAAGTCAACGACGTGGTTAAAATACCATGTGTTCGCGACTCTGGTCAGATTTTTTGGTAACGCAGTTTGGCCGCCTCGTCCCACCTATAAGCAGCACTTACGTCGTCGTAATCATCGAGCCAGTCTTCTACGTCTTCTCCCCGACGACCAGCGAAGAGCGGGGGTTCCCACTA